GTGCAGGCTGAGGGTGTGTGTGCATGCTGAGGCTGTGTGCAGGCTGAAGGTGTGTGCAGGCTGAGGGTGTGTATGCATGCTGAGGGTGTGTGCATGCTCACTGGAGGAAGTGGCTGCAGTGCCTGCTGGGAGATTTGTGAATGACTGAGCTGGGTGTGCACAAAAGCCGTGCACCGCAAGGGCATGGTTCAAGGGAGTGATGGACTTGGTAGGAGCAGTTCCTCTAGGGTCCACATTGAGTCAGGACCTCCCTCCTAAGCATTCTGAGATGGGGGAGGGGAGCTGGGAAATAAAATGGGCTGATGGAGGGCTTGTTGGCATATTTTCTACCATGAGTTCTCAGGGGAAAAAGTTATAGGGCACTAGAGAAATAGGTGTCTCATAGGTTATAAGCACTGGTTGCTCTCCTAGAGGACCTGGGTTCAAGTCCCAGCACCTACATGGTGACTCACAACCACCGATAACTCCAGTTCCAGAGGATCTGATGCTCTCTTCTGGCCTCCATGGGCATTACATTCATGTGGTACATAGATATATGCAGGCATAGCATTCATATATACATATAGAAAATTTTATAGGGCTAGGGTCTCCAAGAGATGAGATGTGGAAGGCTAGGCCAGCAGGACCAGCAAGGACAAAGCAACTCAGACCCCGCGAGAGGCTGATAGCTCAGCAAGACTGAGAATCAGGAAGGGAAGGGAAGGCGGGCTTGTGCCATACCAGGTATTTATAGTGTTATCTGCTGGGGGCTGAACGCTGAGTCAAGCTGCATTTAAAATACAGGATTACATTCTGGTGGAAAGAACCAGGTCCCTTATTAATAGAAAACAAATTCCCAGAGGGAGGCTTCCAAGCAGAGATGCAAGCTGGGACAGCCAACCCTGGCTTCACATCTGTGGGGTCTTCAGATCTTGTCTCTCTGTACACAAGATTTTCCTGAGCCGTAACTTTTTGTTTTAAAACTCTGCTTCAAGCAGGTTAAAAAATCTCTTTCCCTGGGGGGAGGGGGCTGGAGAGATGGCTCGGCGGTTAAGAGTATTTGATGTTCTTGCTCTTGCAGAGGACCCAGGTCTGGTTCTCAGCACCCACATGGTGGCTCACAACCATCTGTGACCCAGTTGCAGGGGATTCAATGTCCTCTTCTAACCTCCATGGGCACCAGGTGTGCTCATGATGCACAGACATAGACACATACATCACACAAAATAAATGATTAAAAAAAAACCCTCCCTAGAATCCTTTAGCACAGCTGAGGAGGGCTGAGGTCAAAGACATATTTTTGCATGTGTGTGTACCCATGTGTGAAGGTGTGCACACACAGCTGCTCCTGCTTATCATTTAAGCCTTTGGGAGAACTAACAACATTATTTTATGGATTATTCTATCCCCTAGTATTTATTAGTCAGCCCAACATTTTTGATGTGAGTGAAAGAAAACCCAACACAAACCAGCTCATCTCAGAAAGGAAATGCATGCGATATCCACGATGGAAAAACATCAAGGCGATCTTCAGAACAGCTGGATTCGGGACTCAAATGGGGTCTTTAGGACTGTCTGTCAAGCTGGATGGATTTGAAATATCCTAGGAGGCATCTCCGGCATGTCTGTGGTGGTCAAGCCTCAGGTAGACCTTCCAGAGAGGAACACTCGTCCTGAATGTGGGTGTCATCTCCCATGAACTGGTGTCCCTGGCAGAGTGAAAAAGGAAGAAATCTAGTGCCAGCATCCTATCATCTCTGCTTTCTGGTCTTTCCAGATGTGGAGTGTTAACTGGATGCTTTTGCTGCCAGGACTCAGCCATGCCTTTCTAGCCACAATGGACTCTGTGCTCTTAAATCTTGAACCAAAGTAAACCCTCTTCCCTTGGGCAGCTCTTGGTCAGGGATTTTGTTAGGGCAACAAGGAAAGTGATGGACCTGAGGACTCAGCTCATTGCCCTCTCTTTGAGGTCTCCTTCTGCAGGGCTGGTTCAGTCTTAAACTCAGGGGGGCATCTTTGAAGCTGTGGGTACCATCCTCTGAGTCCCAGTCCACAATCCCGTCTTTTTGGGTTCATCTTCAGAAAGAAGAGCTGAAAGTGGGTGGTGAACGTTGTGGCTAGGATTGGATCAGCCCTCTGCACACCAGTCACTGCCTGGGGCGTGGAACGGAGTGATCAGTTGGGTCCCAGTCACTGCCCAGCCTGGGGGAGCCTGAGGGAGTGTGAGAAGGGTAACCAGTAGCTGGCAGCCAAGCCCCAGACATCAGCTCTAGCCACCGGAGGACTGTGGGACACACACAGTGGGCCACCGTTCAGGGTGTGCCTTCTCTTCTGTCGCCTGCTCTTTCTTGTCTTCTCCAGCAAAGCTAAAAAGGTAGATGGGGCCTCTTGCTGGGAACCAGGCTGGCTTGCTCCAACTTATGTGTGCCTGGGGTAGGGAACAGCAGCTGGAAGAAAATGTGTGAGGCAGGAAGGCCACCCTTAGGACAGTAGAGGCTCTTTCTTTCTTCCTTCCTTCCTTCCTTCCTTCCTTCCTTCCTTCCTTCCTTCCTTCCTTCCTTCCTTCCTT